AATAATAATAATAATAATAGTAATAAGAAAATGAGGCAACAAGCAAAAACACAAAAAAAAAAACCAAAGATAACATCGCGAGATCATTAGGGTTTTTTTTTGCTATACCCACTATTATGGAAACATTGATATATCTCAACATTCTCCGTGCATTTCTGTATGCCTGTAAATGTATGAACAAGTGTTAACTCTATTTGCACACCTAATGAAAAAGGGGGGTAGTAGTAGGGGGAGAAATAGCTTTCATATTCCAATTCCAAAGAGAAAATAAATAAATAAAAATATTTTTTTTTTCCACCAAACGTTAAACCAGTCTACAGGGTTAAAAATAAGATAGAAAAAAAAAGAAAATAACGGTGATAAACCGTTCCCAAAAAAAGGCAGTTAAAATCCATCACAGCACCACAAATATATGTGTTACCATTTTTGGCTATTTATATATATATATATATATATATATCCCCTTTCTTTTTTTTTACATCTTGTGCTTTTACCTCGTTTTATTTCCATACAAACATTATTACGCACATGCACAGAGAAAACGTGCAGGAAAAAAAAGGAGAAAAATCCCATTATTGTTTTTCATTTATTTATTTTTTTTTTTGTTTTGTTTTGACCCTTTCTCCAAAATTTCCATTTTTTTTTTCCTTTTTTATTATAGAAGCCAAGATAAATTTATATTTATAATAGTTATGACACGTACTATTTTGCTTCTTGTTCCTGTTACAGTTGTTACTATTCTTCTATCTGTGTTTTTTTTATTCATTTTCTTCTTTCTTTTTTTTTCATCATTCGTTTTCTGTAGAGATCAAAGAACATGCATATTGCACAAACAGTAAAAATAAAAAAAATGGGCAGAGGGGAGGAGAAGGGGGATAAAAATGCAAACAAATATCTATCTATCTCTATCTCTATCTCTCTCTATATATGTATATGTATATATATATGTGTAGAGAGAGAGAGAGAGAGAGTGATTCACAAGACCACATGAACATAGTGGAAAAAAAAAGGGAAGACAGTAAGATTTGATAAGTAATAAGTAAGATAAAAAAAACTAACAAATAACAGATGTGATAAGTCAATAACTTTTTCATCACCTACTCTTTTTTTTTTTTTTCTTATTAAAGAATCCACATGTTTNTGTTCTTTTTTTTTTTTTTTTTTGCTATTCTCCCTTCACTTTTATTTTTTGTGTTTCCAGCAAGATGAATTATTCTGAAAAATAATAATTGCTCTTTTTTTTTTGGTATTTTTACCATTTGTTTTATTATCTATTAATTCATTTATTTATTTATTCATTCTTTTTTGTTATTTTTTCCCCCCATAAAAAGCGTCAACAATGGGTCATTGTTGATGATTACACATTATTAACGTAATAATAATAATAAAGGACGTGGTAATTATCAATGTCAGTGACCCTTTTTACCGTCAGATCATATTTTTATTTATTTATTTCTTTTTTTTTTTTTATCGGTGCAGATATATTTGCACAAGAAACCATTTCAGAAACACTATTATTTGCTCTGAGACAGGAGCAGAAAAGAAAAGAAATGAAAAAAAAAGAAAAAAAAAACCTTTGCATATTCATCTATTCATACATATTATTCTTATATATATATATATATATATATATAAACTCCGTATTGGGGTAAATGAGACAGAGCCCCACTGCCGATAAATGCCTATTTGTTAAAACATCCATGGATGATGTAATAAATCCTTCACGGTTGCCCGTTTCTCCGGATCGGGGGCCACACACAACCGCACAAAGTCCTGAACATCGTCCTCCAGCCATTGTGGAATGACTGGCACGACTTCACCTTTACTGACGCGAATGAGAAGTTGCTCTGGACTGCGCAGGAGTTCTTCAATAGGGGGACGTGTGGTCTGTCTGTTGTTATTATTGTTGTTATTAAGAACATTAGACGGAGGATTTATTGTGGTGTCGGGCCACAAAACATTATCGTGAAGTGAAATCCACGTGGGTGACACAGGCCGCTTCTCCTCCACATTCACATTTCTCTCAATAGAAGACATCACATTTCCTCCCTCTCCCTCTGTCTCCTCTCTCCCTGTATTATTTTGTAGATATTCCTCTTCTTCTCCTTCTCCTTCTCCTTCTCCTTGATGCGATGGAAGTTTTATATTCTGGGTTGTTTGTACCCCCTCCTCTCCTTGTTCAGAGGCATAATCCCACGGAAGTCGTCCTGTGAGGAGTTCCAGCACGGTGATGCCCAGCGAAAAGACATCACTCTTCCCGGTTGGCAGTTCCCCACGCGCCACCTCAGGAGCCATATACCCAGGCGTTCCCCGCATCTCACACACATCACTGATCTCATGCATGGAGTTTGTTAGTCGCAATAGCGAAGAACCAAAGTCACTTAACTTGTATACACCATCCATCGCAACAAGTACATTATGCGGTTTCACATCACAGTGAACAACATTTTTAGAATGTAAGTACATAAGACCATTTAAGGCATCTCGCAAGAAACGACGGACCGTTACAATTGATAAAGTTCCAAAACCACTTAAAATACCATCAAGTGATCCACCTGGTACAAGTTCCATAACTTCAATAAGATAGTCGCTGGATAAGTAACAACTGATGTATTGCACAATATTACCATGTCTAAGTTGAGAAAATAATTTTAATTCCTCAACAATATCTTCAATTTCAATATGACGTGAACGTAAGGCGAAACATTTTAGTGCGACGAGGTCTCCCAAAGATGACATTCCACGATACACCACTGAAAAGGCACCTGTTCCCAATTTGTCTACAGAACGTACCCATGAGTTTCCCTGATGATCTTCAAATACAAAAGGCAATTCCCCTTTGGTATTACTGCGGGCTGTAGGTGAAATACTTCCTTCATTATAGCGACTGCTCAAAGCAAATGCATCTTGCACATCATCATTATCATCAATAGATGATTCAATTAACATTTCAAATAATGGTCGATCACAAGCATCCTCATACTGCATGGCTCCTGAAAAACTGTTATTGGCAGGAGTTGCGGCTCTTGAACAACCGCTGCGCGCAGAGACTCCAGATAACAGAGTATTCTCCAACTCTGAACCTTCTTGCAGAAAGCTGTGTTTTGCACGCAGCATTGGTACACGAAAATAATCTGGTAACGGTGAAGAAGTATCCACCGTGTTGTTATGATTAATAATTTCTTTACGTCGATGGGTCGTGGCGAGTAATTGACCCCATGTACGAACATACGGTTTTGTAGTTCCCTTTCGCAAAAGACGACGACAGGCCCGCAATAGTCTGTCGCCCTGTACATCTTTTCCTTCAATCTGCACAAGCAACCGTGCGGCCTCTGCGTATCTTCCCCCCAACATGTGCAGAAATGCCCGCCGTATGATGGCGATGTATTCCACGAGATCCGAGACGTATTCGCTGGCCAATGCGGCCGTGCAGCCGCGCAGTTCATATAAGACCAGTGTTGTGTTGAGATCCCCGCAGCAAACCGCCTCTACAGGAATAGTGAGGAACTGTTTATCAAGCGCAATGGAGACAGGCCGGGTAACGACAATGTGACACTTAAGAGATAAGATGAGTCTTAATAAGTCCAACTGCATGGGAATTTGAAGTCCATGCGTGGTTCGCGTATTGAACTCTGGTGTTCCGCAGGTTCCCACGAGATATTCCGCAGAATCCACCATAACGCCAACACACTCCGCAATATCAGGTGGGAGGATCTGTAATAAATCTAATGCAAAACGTACTGCCTGTGTTTGATGTTGTGCCATTTGGGAATGTGCACCGAAAGTGACTAATAAAAAGTTTGAGCGCTGAACCTCTATTACACCACTGTAACGCATGATAAGAGGAACACTTGATTCCGAGAATGCCTTCACAAAACCATCTATTGAGTGATCATAATCGGGAAGAGCCATAGATAAACAGACAATACTGCAGAATCGTCGACGAAACTGATTAAGCTCATCTTTTAATATACTCTCATGGAGTCTGGAACAAAGTGCATCTGATTCATCAGACCTTATGGAACGATTGTCGCTCATATGATATTCACTGGCGTGTGAAGTAGTAGTTTCCGATGGCACTGTCATTATCCCTATAGCATTAGTAGTATCAATAGTAGTATTCTCCTGTCCCTGTTCCATCGATTTGATATTTTGTACTTTTTCTTGCGTAGATAATTTTAGTTTTTTGGCATCGCTGACCCTTGAAAACCATTCATCTACCATTTCAGTGGGAAGAAGTGTTTTCATATACATCAATTGTCTATTAAACTGTTTCAATTGGAGTTGCAACCAAGCCACATCATTAAAAGTAGATGAACATTTGAAATATTTTGATCCGTCCTGAAATTGCATCATCACTAAAAATCCCCGAAACAAAAGATGTAACGGTCTTGTATAAGCGTAAATAATGACAAATTCTGCAAACACAATAGCAATTATAGAAAAAACAATGGCGAGATATACCCTATTGTTCGAAGTCTCTAAACTGCTGGTTAACGTCGATTCTCGGATAAGAGCAATAGTAACAACTCTAAGACGTTCATCACTCGTATGAACACGACTTATAATAACACGAAAATGTTCACCTTCAAGGTTAAAGGAATATCCAACAAGGTTCCCATTCTTCGCAAGCACTGTAATTCCACTTTTTCCACCCAATTTCTCGACAGCTGCAGCCATGTATGGATCATTAAGTGATTCCAGGTATTCAACTTGTGGAAGTTTTTCACAAAGTTTTGGATCATGAGTGCAATTCCAATTATCCCACATAGTTGGTCCTCGTCCATATGGTCTCTTGCTTAGTACGATCCCGGTTTGAAGTTCTACCACCATTACAGAATCTAACTTCACTGGTCCAGAGGTCCCATCATAAAAATATCGTAATCCCTTGAGTTGCAATGCAGTTGTAAGCATCGCCGGATTACCTCTGTAGTCTGTAAAAGGGTAAGTAAAGGTCATTAATATTTCATTATTATGGACAAATGTCCACCAATTGTTGTCTCTACCCTCACGATACCACGGTAAGACAACATTTGCAAATGCATTTTCGGCGAAAGCAAACTCAATAGCATACTCCATCTCTGTCATTGTATTAGCCATGTAAACCGGTTCAAGTGGTTCAGCATACAAGAGTGTCTTTGGGTCTATCACATAACGAAAGTCAGAATTATTATCTGAATGATATGTTCCCACCAGTGTTTCACCGTCATACTGCTGTGAACAATACGCCCCAAAGCCTGAGAAAGGACTGCTGAGATGCAAATACAGCAAACGTTTTCCCGTGTTAGATGTTCGCAATGTAGCACAAAGTTGCTGCATTACTTCTGGCATATTCTCTTCACTCCATACACGTATGGATGTCGTGCGATTCAACTGAAGACTATTAAAGAGAGATTTTACAACATCTTCAGTATTAAAAAGGTTGGTACCAACAGCTCTACTAATTGGTTCTACTGAGGCATCACTCAATTTCTCTAATGCTTTATCCAGTGACATTCTATATGTAGCCTCTAGTGGCAAAACACAAATAGTTACAACAAAACACACTAATAAAAAAATGTTTACTGCTACAAATGTACGTGATCCAATACCTAAGCAACGTCCACGTGCTTTGCGTTCTAACATTTTCATATCCTTTTCCGTTATCGAACCCTGAAGAGTATGCATTTGTGTTGGTAATGAGTTTGTATCTTCCATTTCCAGCTCTGTGTTACTTGAACTGGATGCATAAAAACTTGAAAAGTGTGGATCCACCCCTCGTTGTGGCTCATCCGATGGAATGGGTATTTCCTGACACTCCGTTACCGGCAGAGAGACGGAGACGGTGGAGGGAATAACCCCAAATCCGTCCGTCGATGGACATTCAACCGTCCGGCGGTCCTCAAGCGTTGAGGTATCCGCTGTGGGGGGAAATAATCCATCCTGCCTGTTTACTTCTTCCCGCTGGTGATATTTCTCCTCTTGCGGCGACGGATCCCGGTAGGAATGGCCGTTCAGCGGGGGGACGGGGTTGGAGGAATTGTCATTATTGCATGAATCCACACGACGAGGCGAAAGTTCGCGGTGTGAAAAACATGAAATTGAGGTTTTTTCTCCCGTCATCCACGCAGCGGAAGAAAGATAAAGGTTTTCTCTCTCTCTCTCAACTCTTATTTGTGCAACAAATACCTGTGAAAAAAAAAAAAAGAACAAGAAATCAATTATTAACGTACGCTATCTTTTTTTTCCTATTTAATTATTATTATTATTATTATTAGAAAGGAAGTATAAAAAGTGTGAAAAAAAAAGAAAGGAATAAAAAGAGGAAATAATCAGTAATAATAGTCATAGAAAACAAAGAACAAATGAAGCACCCTGCCCTCTGTAGTTCATTTAAAAAAAAAAAAAAAAATATATTAAATGAAATAATAAATCGTACTGTAAAGGAAAAGAGTACAAGTCATCACTATAGGCATCCAAGTAGACACCTCCATTACATCTATACCCAAAGAAAAAAAAAAAGAAGGTAAAATCTTCCATTCACAACTCAAATAACTTTGAAAATCACAATATGCATCCAACATCACCATGATACCTTGAAAATACTAGATGACAGTAGTACTCATGAGAAAGACGCGTATTTTTTTTTTTTTTTTTTTTTTTGTGTGTGTCTTTACCAAAGGTTTATAGTGACCCAAACACCACTGACAAGTCTTGCCAAAAGGCAAGGAGAGTTGATTGCCGAGAGCAAAAACAAAACCCATAGAAATTTGTCGCAATCTATTTCCATTCTTTCGGGTTTAATAAAACAATGAAAGTTTAAGAATTAAAATCTTAACAAAGTGAAGAAGGACAAGCTACCAGATAAAAAAGGATCATTACCTTTTTTATTTCTATTTACACGCTCACATGAGAAAGAACAAAAACAAGAGAAAAAAAAAAAATTGGATCACCACCATTTTACTACACTTCGACGGGAATAATGAAATAGTAAAGATTTGCGTGTGGTGTCAAACACATCATCTGTCTCGTTGCCAATGGGACGTCAGCTGTCACATCAACTGTATCCAGAGGTACTGAACAAAAAGCAGATGAATTAAGTTGAATAAAGTCATCTATATTACCGTACTTAGTGAGAAGTTTATTCTTTCGATCTGTAGTAATCGTGCTGCTGCTTTTTACCCTCGCAAGGATGGCATCTAATGTATTGTAGGCACTAACAAATGTTGGTTCTGTACACATTACTGGAATAACACCAACAAAGTAATCCGCAATAATTTCAGCAGCTGCTGAAAAATAAGTCATACCTGATCCTAAGAAGGTACCTAATGATATGATCGCGGTGGGTGCAAAACCCCTATCATTATTACCATGACTAGGAATTCCAATAGTATTGGCAACAGAACCCTGTGATAAAGAGCTATCAATGAAAATATGATATTTCGTATTATAAAGTCGAACAAGAAGAGCAGCGTCCTCCACAACTTTTCCGGATTGTTTATGCCACACATCTCCCAAAGCAGAAGTGGGCATTGTACGGGTACAAACACCAGTATCACTTATAGCGTACACAGCATTCTGTTCTTCGTCTGAAAAAGCATCAGAACAAATAAGAAGACGTAATTGTTTCCACTCTCCTCGAAGTTTCAAAGCACAATTAGAAAGTTCTATTAAAAAAATTTCCACATCTTTGCCAATACCAAGAATATGAATAATTGGAGATATTTGTCCACTCTCTTTAGAACGCCAGCTATCAATAAATTGCAGCAGTGTAGTAACAGCAGAGGTGTATGGAGTACTTGGAAGTGTTGTCCCATTTGATTGTAGTAAAGGTACCACACGTTGCTCATAATCTTCTCTGGCTTTTCGCCATAATCCACATTTCTTTTTGTGTCCAGCCTTCCAATCCATCATTTGGTGTTTCTTTCCACAATACATATTCACTCGACAGGCACCACAACGTAAAAGTTTATCCCGACGACGTCCACACCACGTACATTCATCATTATGTGTTGGAGAAGGAACTGGGGCAATATCCTTAGCAAGTGTGTATCCACAAACTCCATCTTTGTTAACAGGTGTAATATTATCAGAAAGAAATACAAAAGCCTCTCGAACAGCTTCCCATTCATCTGATGTATTAAGTATACTTTCAACAACCTCAACGTGTGGTGTTGATATGGCGGTATCCTTTACAATTGATTCTGTAGGTCGTCGAAACACAACCTTAGGGAAGGTGTAACCAGTAGATGAACCTTCACAAATAGGCTCTGTTGGAATCGTTTTTACAAATTCTTTTAGTTCATCTTTTTCAAGAAAAGAAAAGTAGTTGTCAATATCCTGGAAGCTAATACCTTCTAAGGGAGTCAGTTGAGCGAATACCTCACCGTTTTCATGTAGCATATCATCAAATGTTGTGTCGAAAAACTTCTCATCGCATAGTCGTGACTGAAGATATAATACCTCACCAGCATCTTGCATTAAGTGTAGCTCCGCCCCAATAGGTTGAGGTCTGAGTGGTCCGGGATCAAGATTTTCCAACGATATCTCCTGTTTTTCCAGCAGCAACTTTTGTATAAGGAGAACGTACCACTGTTTTGGTGTTTCTCCGGAGATAGTAGGGAGATTTAAACTGAATGAGGTTATACGTCCTACACGTTTTTTCATTTCTTTCATTGCCTCAAAACGTACTCTCTCTAATTGAGACAAAACACTTTCTTTCCCTTTTTCATCAGCTGTAATAGATTCGAGCTTAATATCATCTAATTCCGCAAATTCTGTGGTAAATAATAATTTGTTTAGATGTGGAAGTAATGCAAGAATAGATTCATTACCCTCCTGTGAAGGAGCAGAAACATCTACAGCCTCTGGTGATCGATTACGTATCCAATTGACTGCTGAGTCAACAAATGCAGGCAGTGGGCCAGTCGATTCCGTTAATAATCCTTTAGAATGACTATGAAGGTCAACATGACGTCGTTGTACGGAAAACTGTTGCAATCCCAAAGGAATCAGTACAGATTCAACCCTTTCCTTATATAGAGAAAAAGCTCGTTCAGAAAATAAACCAAGACGCTCGTGTGTATCACCAATAGTTACACAATGTACAGAGAAATTTAAAGGTCGAAGTCCTGTAGGAACTGTTTTAAAAATATCTTTAATAAGCTCAGCACCCCGCGATTCCCAAAGCACCTCCTTACAGTTATGTTTTACTTCATAAAATAGCAACTGCCAAGGAACCTCATCTTCCCTGGTGGTGAAATCAGAGCCACTATCAGTGCCAGAAGCAGAAGATGCAAATAACATATGAAATACAGGTGCATATAGCTCATTTAAGCGCTTATTACGGGACCACTGGCGTTGCAGAAGTACTAATAACGACCACTGTTCATACCGCGTGTCCAATTTGCTGCCCAACTGATTCACCGAATCGCACGGCTCGCCATGAGAAAGAAAGCCTTCAACAAGAGCCATAAAAGTAAACTACTTCCTATCACAAACTGGATAAAAAGAAATAAAATCAGAGTGGAACAAAATCAAAATAAATCATGCGTATCGTAACACAACGGAATAAACATTATATTGAGGGAAGTAGGAAAGAAGTTAGAGGAAAACAAATAAGAAAAAAAAAATGAATAAATAAAAAAAAGATCTAGTTCGTTTATTATTAAACACACTATATATTTTATATACAATTAGAAAAAAAAAGGAATGGAAGTCTATATTTTCCCTTTAAACACTAACTTTATTAGGGGCTCGAAAAACATTTTTATCACCACATGACGCTCTTTTCAGCAAAGAATGAAAAAAAAAAATGAGCATAACTCAACTAGATTAATAAATAAGCATATCTCGTACCACACGTTGAAGTTTTTTTCCTTTTCTTTTTAAGCCACCCTCGTCTTTCACAGTTCTAACAAAAGAAAAAAAAAACAATTACATGATAACACAGCATTTAAACCAACCGCCCCGATTATTATTACTTAAAGCATTATCCCCTCCAGTTCTCAGCAACGGTGCCTCCTCACCCCCAGAAACATCAATACGTTGCTTCAGTTCATTTAACTTTTCTTTCTCTACCTTCAGTGCCTTGAGAGCTTCAGCGGCCTTCTCCTGCTCAGCCTTCAGTTGCTCGGTAGCCTTCTGTTTTTCGGCTTCCGCTGCCTTGAGAGCCTCAGCAACCTTCTGCTTTTCTGCTTCCGCTGCCTTGACAGCCTCAGCGGCCTTCTGCTTTTCAGCTTCTGCTGTCTTGACAGCCTCAGCGACCTTCTGCTGCTCAGCCTTCAGTTGCTCGGTGAACTTCTGATGTTCAGCCTTCAGTTGCTCCTTAGCCTTCTGTTTTTCGGCTTCCGCTGCCTTTACAGCCTCAGCAACCTTCTGCTGCTCAACCTTCAGTTGCTCGGTAACCTTCTGATGCTCAGCCTTCAGTTGCTCCTTAGCCTTCTGTTTTTCGGCTTCCGCTGCCTTTACAGCCTCAGCGACCTTCTGCTTCGCATCCTCAGCAGCCTTGACAGCCTCAGCAACCTTCTGCTGCTC